CCCCCCCCGCGGTCCCCCTCGAGCTTCATCCCTTGCCCCTCCCCGCCTGATCCTCTCCGGCCTTCGCTGCCGCCGCCGCCGCCGCCGCCGCCGCCTCTGCCAGCATGTCCCACAAGCACAAGACCGAGGCCAAGACGGTCTCGGAGCGCATGAAGTTCCATGGGCTGAAGAAGCTAAAGTGGTGGTGCCAGCTGTGCGAGAAGCAGTGCTACAGCGACTATGGCTTTGAGGACCACTCCCGAAGCGAGGGCCACAGCCGGATGGTGATGCTCTTCCAGCAAAACCCCTCCAAGTACATCCAGCGCTTCAGCGACGAGTTCCAGGAGTCCTTCATCGACATCCTGCGGACGCGGTGCGTGTGCCCCCACTCCCCTTCCCCCTGGGCCGGAGGGGCCTTCCTATTGGGCTGGCCCCCCTTCCCGGCCTGCCTGCCCCGTGGCTGACTTACGTTCCTTCCCACCCCCCTTGGCTCCTCCCCTCGCGGGATCCCGGCAAACCAGCTACGGCACCAACCGTGTCAATGCCAACCGCGTGTACCAGGAGTTCATTGCCTCCGACAAGAAGCATGTGCACATGAATGCCACCCGCTGGACTACCCTGTCGGACTTTTGCCAGTATCTCGGCCGGGAGGCCGTGTGCCGGGTGGAGCCTGGCGACGAGAACGAGCCCCACGGGACTTGGTACCTGGAGTGGATTGACCGGGATCCGCTGCGCATGCGCCTGGAGAAGGAGGCCGAAATGCACGCCCAGCGCCGAGCCCAGGCCGAGTCCAACCGCCGGCGGGATGCGCTGGCCGCGGCCGAGCGGGCCCGGCAGGCCGCCATCCAGGCCGCCATCGACGCTGGCCAGGACCCGGCCGAGTTGGAAGTCCGGCCGACTGACCTGGCCTGGACCGACGAGCACCAGGAGGCCCTGGCATCGCAGCTGCAGCTGGGCACCGAGGCCCCGGCCGAGGATGCGGCCGCGACGGTCGCCGATGCGGCCGCCTCCGGCCGGGCTCGCCGGGCCTTGCTCCACAGCGACAGCGAGGACGATGGCCCGGAGGAGGAGGACGATCGGGACCCCTACGGCCTCGATGGCCCGGGGGACTTGGCTGCCGCGTCGGCTTTCTCCTCGGGGCCGGGGTTCGTTGCCGCCCCATTGCCCCGGGGCCCGGGCTCCGGCCACGACCGGAGCCTCGACCGCGGTCGGAGCACTGGGCGTGGCCCGGAACTCGACCGCGGCCGGAGGCCCGACCGTGACCGAGACCTCGGCCGCCATCCGGACTTTGACCGCCGTGGCCGGAGCCCCGACCGCCGTGGCCGGAGTCCCGACCGCCGTGGCCGGAGCCCTGATCGCCGTGGCCGGAGTCCCGACCGCCGTGGCCGGAGCCCCGACCGCCGTGGCCGGAGCCCCGACCGCCGTGGCCGGAGCCCCGACCGCCGTGGCCGGAGCCCTGACCGCCGTGGCCGGAGCCCCGACCGCCGTGGCCAGAGCCCCGACCGCCGTGGCCGGAGCCCCGACCGCCGTGGCCGGAGTCCCGACCGCCGTGGCCGGAGCCCCGACCGCCGTGGTCGGAGTCCCGACCGTCGCGACCGGACTCTCGCCCATCGCAGCCGCAGCCCGGATCGCCGTCGCAGCCGCAGCCCGGATCGCCGTCGCAGCCGCAGCCCGGATCGCCGTCGTAGCCGCAGCCCGGATCATCGCCGCCGCGATCGTAGTGCCGATCGCCAGAGGAGCCCTGCTGGCCGCGGCCGAAGCCTCGAGCGCCATCGCAGCCGCAGTCCGGATCATCGCCGCCGGGACCGGAGCCCTGGTCGCCGGGACCGCATCTTCGAACACGACCGGCAAGCCGGCGGCCTGGGCACTGCCAGCATCTATCCGGCCGGCTTGCCGGCTGATGCTTGGCTGGCGCCGGGGCTGCTGGTGTCGGTCCGGCCCGATGTGGCCGAGCTGCCGAAGCACCTCCAGGGAGCGCGGGGTCGCGTGGTCGAGGTGTTTGACCAGTTCGGCGCCGTGTTGGAGACTCTGCCCGCCGAGGGTGCCAGCGGCCGGCCCACCATCTTGCGGCTGGACCAGGACGACCTGCGGCCAGCTCGGCCGGGGCCGGACACCCGCCGGGCCGCGGTGCTGGCTGGACCGCACCGTGGTGTCGTGGCCCGGATCGAGCGTGTCACCGGAGACACGGCCGCCATTCTCTTGCCTGGCACGGGCGAGGTCGCGCCGGTGACCGTGCCCCTGACCGCCCTGTGTCGGCTGGCGTAGACTCGGCCCGCCGTGAGCACGGAAAAAAAAATACACCAAGATCTCGAAGTCCTTCCCGGCTCCGGGCGCCGGCAGCGGCACCGCCGGCAGCAGCAGCAGCAGCAGCGGTGGTGACGACAGCCGGCAGTGGTGCGGGGTCGGGACCCGGCACGTTAGCTGGGCCGCGGCAGGAGCGAAATGAACACAGATCGAGACGCCGGGCTCAGCTTTCCCGGCGGTCGCGCGCGGAAAAGGCCGGCAACCAGCAGAGGGCCGAGTGCGGCGTCCGGGCGGTCTCTAACCGGCGAGGGTCACGTGACGATGCGGTGTCCCACCGCTCTGGTTGGGGCGCGGAGGGGCTGGTGATGCGCCAGGCGTCGGGGCCGGGGGGCGGGGGGGGGGGGGGGGGGGGGGGGGGGGCTGGCGGTCACTCTGCCACATCCCCGGACGCGCGCATATTACTACCGCGCACGCCGAGACATGCGCCTCCCTGCGCAGGGAAATGCGTCTGTGGAGACGGCGAGACATTCATCCACGCAGGCTGGGCGGTGCCGGCCGTTTGCCGGGGTCATTCGAGCGAGGGTGCTCCCCGTTGGACGGCGGGGAAGAAGAAAAGAAAACAATAACAGAGCGCCAGCCCGGGCCGCGGGCACTGGGTTCCCCCGGGTGAAGTGTGGGCCGTCCGGGAGACTTGCCGCCGGCGAGGGCCTGCATGTTTGGGGGATATTTTCTCCTGCCAGGCGCCCGGGCGGCGCGCATGCGTGCGCTCACCCGGCCCTTCCCCCCCTGTGTGTCCCCTGGCCGGAGCATCTCCCGGCTAAGGGTTAGCGGCTGGTCGCTCCTTGAGGCGCCCCCCCCCCCCCGAGGGGGGCTTTCTCGGGGTCCGTACACACGGGGGGGGGCAAGAAAGGCTGATGGCCGGGGCGGGACGGTGTGGCATCCTTTCCTCCCTCTGTGGCTCGGTCTCACCCCGTCCCTTGGGGAGGGGGGAGGGATCCTCACCGGCGGCTTTAGAGTGGCTCACAGGCTCGTGCATGTTAGCCGGTCGTTGGTTGCCGCCACCCGTGCAGTCTGGATGGGAGCGGTCCGGGGGGGGACGGGGGATGAGCCAGCCCGATTGCCAGCCGCGGCCGCGGAAAAGAGAACCGCCCCGATATAGCGCGGCGTGCTCATCTGACGGCTCCGGCGGCGGAAACATCAACCACCACGGGGCCGGGCGCGGTCCAGCTCCCCGGGCCAATGGCACCGGCTTTTTTTAATTTAAATCCCCCCTCCCCATCCTCTAGTGGCGCCAGTTGTTCCACAGCCGGTGCCCGGAGGGGGGTGTGCCACGGCAGGGCGAACTCCGGCCCGTCCGCCCTGCGGCCCGAGCGCCGTCCCGAGCCGGGACACCGACATGCATTCACGCCAGCCGCCTGCTTGGCGCCCGGTTGCCCACGCCCTTGGCCGCTCCCAAGGAACGCAAACGCTCCCGCCCCCGCGCCCGCGTCCGCGCCCGCCCCCGGGCAGGGGGCCCCCGGGCCGTTGCCGCTCGACCGCCTGTTTTCCACCGGGCCTCTTTTGCCCCTCGGCGGGGCGCCCAGGGGTTGGGCTTTTGCGCCGCCATGTCCGGCTGGGGCTCCGCCCCCGGCCGGCGCGGCCCGGACACCCGCGCACAGTCCCCTCCCCCTCCCCCTCCCCGCTCCCTGCTCGTCTCTTCCTCCCTCCCTCTCTCTCTCTCCCTCTCTCTCTCTCTCGCGCCCCCCCCTCTTCCCGCCTCCTTTCCCCCTATCCCCGTGCACAATGTCCTTCAATATGGCGAAGACCCGCGGCCCGGCCGCCCCCACTGGCCCGCGCGCCACCGGCCCCGGCCACAAGAACGACCAGCTCGGGAAGCTGCGCACTCAGCTGAAGGACATCGAGGACCAGATCTTGTCCCTTCTGGTTTTGTTCGTTTGTTCCGCCCCCCCCCCCCCCCCCCCCCCCCTCCGGCAGCCTCCCCCTGTCCGGTGTTACCCGCCATTCCGGCCTGAGTGTCCACGCGCCTCGCTCCACGCCCTCTCCTTTCTTCCCCTCCCCCTTCTTCCCCTCCCCCTGACTCGTCTCTCTCCCTCCCCCCTTCCCTCCTCCCGCCTCGCCATGCCCGCAGGAGGACATCAGGAAGGCCCTCGACACCTCGGACGATGTTTTCCGTGAGTCTCGCTCGCAGCTGGACGAGCTGCACAAGGCCCTGAGCCAGGCCCAGGCTCGTGAGGCTGCCTTCAACAGCACCTCCACCCATGGCCCTCTGGTCGCCTACCGGCAGCTGGTCCGCACTCACAGCCCGCCGCCCGCGCTCTGACCTGCTTGCTGGTCCTCTTGGCCAGCCACGCCCGTCTCGCCTCTTGCTGACTCTCTTCCTTTGTCTCTCTCTCTCTCTCTCCCTCCCTCCCTCTCTTGTACACCCGTATGCGCACACAGGAGAGCAAGATTGCCAACTTCAAGCTCCCTGGCAAGTTCCGCAACCTCGCCGAGATTGAGCAGCGCATTGCCGTCGTCACCGATGTCATCAACGGCTCCACCGATCCCACTCGGCCGCACATCTCCCTGGTCAAGCTGCAGCAGCACCGCGACGAGCTGCAGCAGCTCAACCGCCAGGTGGTCTCCTACCGCAACTACAACGCCCTTGTTCAGGAGTGCCAGAAGCTGAAGGTGCGCGTCGACATCCCCTCCCCTCCCCTCCCCTCCCCCCGGCGGCCACGCCCGCTGACCTGGCCGCCACGCGCTCACGCACGCACGCACGCACGCACATGCGCGCGCATACCCCCCCTGTCGGACCTGCCATGCAGCCCACCGTCACCGCCGACCTCAAGGCCCACGAGGCCGCCCGCCAGGAGGTGGAGAAGGCTCGCGCCGCCGTGGACAAGTATTCCAGCAGCATGACCGCGAAGGTCTCCTCCTCGACTTACGGTACGCCTGTGTCACTGACTTCCCTTGTCGCGCTTGGGGGCCGGATCCTGACGTGCGCCCCCCCCCCCCCCCCCCCCCCCCCCCCCCCCGGGCCCCGCCCCCCCCCCCCCCCCCCCCCCCCCAGGAGATGCACAAGCAGCGGTCCTCCATGCAGGAGG